TCCCTACACTCACCTAAAAAAAAAGTAGCACGCCTGTGATATTTTATCCAATAGTGTTTCTTGCATTACTTTAACTTGAACAGATACGTTTCTACCTATCACTTTGTTCTAATATCCCTACATTTTCCCCATCTATCACTTTCTCCAGTTATTATTATTATTATAGCATTTTTTTTCCTGTTCCTTGAACATGCTAAGATCGTCTTCACTTGCTCTTCCTACTGCCTGATATGTTCTTTCCCCAAATTTTCACACACCTGCCTATTTCTCCCTATTCAGACCCAGTTCATACATCGAAGTAACTACTACCCAATTGAAGTAACCCCCCTCAGGTAATTACTCTGTCTCATAAGATTATTATAAAATGATTATCTTAGAGATGTGTTTATTCCTTTTTATGTTATGTCTCTTCCAGTAGACTGCAAGCTCCATTTGAAGAGTCTTTCTCTGTCCATGTCACCACTGCAACCCAGATCTAGCTGAGTAGCTGACACATTGAAGGTGTCACATTCTCTGAGAGGTGACATCTTTTCCATACGTGTTCCAGGAAAACAGAGAGAGAGAAGGAACCAGAGTGGTAGAGGAGGGTGAAAGCATTACCTACATTACTGGCTGTAAGCTAGGATGAGAACCAAATGGGTCAACTAACTGGAGAATTAGCTGACTCTCCTTCTGTATCTCAGGCAATACCAGACTGGCCTGATGCAAAAAAATATACCCCTGGAAAATCAGATCAGATTCCTAGCTTACAATGTAAAAGGAAGGAGCTCATCAGGTAAGGCCACTGTCTTCCCAGAAGATCAGTATGTACAGAGGCAGAGAGAAGCCAATAGGTACATGAAGTGATCTCCTTTCATTTGGAAGGAAATATGCAGAGTGAGAGACTTGTTACTCCCTAAATACTAATCAACAAATAGTCTTGGAATGAATTCATTTTCTTTAGTTATCATTATAGATGGCAAAAAGGAGACACTGTGAGGTTAAAAGGGATTTTCCTCAGCTTATTTAAGGCAGGTGTCCTGTTTTCTAGTCTAATATTTTCATACAACATCATAAAAAAGTATTTCTGGGTTTGGAGCTATTTGGTGACTTGTGAAGGCTACAGGAACTAATGATGAAGGGTGAATGAAAGACAAATATGCCCCAGAATTTCAACAGAGAAAATGAGACCAGTGTTTATATTCTGGGTGCCCATCAGTCTGGGCCCTAAGAGCTGGTTTCCTCTGCTCATCCGCTGTTCTTTTTCAGCGAGTCTCCACTACTAAAAGGAGACAAACCATCGGCGGAAACTAATCTATCCTCATTCAATTAAACTGCGAAGCAATTACTCTTTTTTTCCCCTAAGAAAGTGCAATTAGTCCCCTTTGAAAATTTATTCCAGCTCCAGGAGAAAAGCAGAACCTCTGAAAACGTATGTTGAAAGCAAAAATGTTTTCAAGCAATTCTCCTCACGCTTTCTTATCCATCTGCAGCTTTAGTTTCCCTCTTTTGGCCCAACTGCCATTTGTTTGGTCTTTGGTGCCTCCCTAAGATAATTTCCTGCATGTGGCCTTTTCCAGTAGGAAATTTTTCTCATAGTTCAGAGGCACCCAGGTTAAGATCTAAGAATACATAGAGGCAGCGTGGTGACCTAGAAGGCACTCTGGACTTGGAGGACAGAGCTCTGATTTATGGTTCTTTGCTTTCTGACTCTGGGCAACGGTTTCAGTTTCCTTATTTATTTATTTTTTTTTGCGGTACGCGGGCCTCTCACTGTTGTGGCCTCTCCCGTTGTGGAGCACAGGCTCCGGACGTGCAGGCTCAGCGGCCATGGCTCACGGGCCCAGGCGCTCCGCGGCATGTGGGATCTTCGCGGACCGGGGCACAAACCCGTGTCCCCTGCATCGGCAGGCGGACTCTCAACCACTGCGCCACCAGGGAAGCCCGGTTTCCTTATTTTTAATGTGAGGTATTTGGATTCACATGGGTGTTTTCATAAAACACTTAAAAAAATTTTCCCCTCAAACTCTCAGATGAAAACCCACAACAATTTACAGCTGCTCTGTTAAAGTAGAAAGGGGCAGTAGTGGCGGGGAAGAGGAAAAGCCAAGGGTCGTCCCTCTTACTACCCTCACAGTCCCTCTCAGGCCCTTAGGTATATATGTGACAATCTCTGAGGTTCTCTTCATGTCTAGTAACTGATTCTTCCTGGTTCAGGAGTATTATATAAACAGGTCACCCAAGATGGATGTTCTCTTGCTCTCTGTACATCCCCTGCTCAGCCAGTGCCTGCTTCACCTACACCCCACTCACATGACTGACCTACCTACATACTTGCCCCTGCCCCAGCTGGTGATTGTCCTAACCTTCAGATCAGAACATCTCCACCTGATAGCTTATCAAAGTGGTGGTGAGGGGCGTGCCCCTTTGCTAGTTTCCCGGGTAACGGATGAGTCCACCTGACATCAATTCCCCTATAACTGGTAACCTCCCCTCCTCCCAGGAGTGAAGACTGTGGCCACATCCTGCCTGCGTCTGCTGCACACAGTGGGGTGTCGCTCCAGGACCTTGCTTCAGACAGGTAAGCTCCCCCTTCCATTAAACCATGATGTCTCTGTTGCTGACCCTGGGCTCTTTCCTGCGTCTTGAAGCTGGGCAAGTACAGGCCTTGTAGGCCTGCGGGGTGCAGCCCAGCAATTGGCGGAGCAGGCCAGGAGACCGAGGAGACTCCCGTAAGCGCCGAGATATAAGGACCGGGATGGGCAGGGATGGAAAGTTGTGGGGCCTGAAAGTTCCAGGTGGTAACCCCAGGAGGGCCGTCCATGAATGTCCTGAAAGTTCCAGGGGTGATCCCCCAAATTGCGGAGGAAACCCTGGGTGGCTCTCCACTAATGGGGGCCCTGTGGTGGCTGTCCGTGATGGACAGGGTCCGCCAAGGGAGTAGGCAGAACTCACAGACGCCCCTATGGCTGTTGGGGAGATGTTGGCCGTCTTTCCAGTAGGGGACGAAAGAAGTGGCCGCAGCTGTGGGCTGGCTGTTGCTTTTTGCATTAAGAAAGGCCACAGAGGCAGAGCTGACAGCAAGGCGAAGGTTTGCTTGAATGCTGCTTCTGGCTCCTCTGACAGTGAGGCATGTGACTGTGAGTGAATTATTTGTATTATTGTCTATTACTGTTAGTTGTTGAAACTGAATTGGTTATTTAGAAACTGAAAAAAAAAAAATCCCTGAAAATGTCCAAGATGGGGCACTTTTGACATTACAAAATTGGTTTTTTTTTGCATATGCCCTTAGAGGAAGTTAGCTTTCTAGAAGGAATTGGTATTTCTCTTCTTCTTGTGACTTTGAGATGTAAATGATCGTGTGGGCTCTGTCCCAAATGAATTTCAGGTTCATGTGATCTGGGACATAGCAGTACTGAATTGATAGCTGGTATTGAAGGTACATAAGCTTGTTGGTCTGATTAATTTAGAGTCATCAGTGTTAAGTATAATACTTCTGTTGTACCTAGGTTTACTAAAAGTCAAATAAGACCATATTATGTCTGTTGCAAATTTGTCAGCAAGGAAAGTAACTTGATATGATAAAACTATAAGTAAATGTAACTGAGGTAAGAGCTTGTAGGTAAACTCTATAGGAATAATTATGTTTTGGGAATGTCTATCTAAAATAGTCTCTCCAGATTTTGGTTACGTGAAAGTAAGTTAAATGAAGAGAATTCATTGACTATCTGGGTCATTTCAAATAGGATAAAATGTTGTAACATTAATTGCTGCGTGGGTCTGTTTGCCTACCTTTGCCTTCTTAGGAGAGGAAGACTAAAGCATAAGATTTCCACTCAGGAAATGCTGATATGACAAACATTCACAGTTACTTGCTTCTTGGTTTTTACCAGATATTAAAGTTTTTAAGGGTTCTGATTATAATCAGTCAGAATTCTAGTTATTGTAACCAAGTTGCTTTATCGATTACGTTGTAATCAGGTGTTTAACTGCCTTTTTAGTTCTTTTGTCATTTATAGACTGTTGCACTCTGATGCTTTTGTAAAAGTGCTTCATCTTTATAAAGATTCATAGGAAGGGCCTTTTGATAATACAGGTCTGTGATAAATTTCAGATCATACCACTGAACTGGGTAAGAAATTAAAAGAATCCTATGGGAAATCTTGATGGCTTCATAAAAAGTTAACAGAAGGATTGGTTACTGAGTGAATGGGTGAATATGGTTGTAATTTTTATGGTTTTTTGTCTGGTATGTTACTGGTTTTGATCTGTGTTTTCCAGATATAGGGAAGCCCTTCCTCTCAAGTTAATTATGACTTACAGCAATTTGGTAAACTATACTTGTGGGTAGAATTGAAAGCTTTTTCTTTTCTCTCTGCCTGGTCCCTCCAGAAATTGGAGACTCTTGGGTTCCAAGCAGCCTGATCAGGTAAATGGAAAAGACTATCTCCTGGCAAGAGTATGGTCTGTAGTATGGTCTGTAGGTACCAGATAGATTCTAGGTTTGTATTCAAGGATCTGCATGAGCCTTGGAAAGCTTTTTATTCTCTCTATGCAGATAGCTTCCTCTTTAGCAAAATGGGGGAAATACAAATAAATTTCTCTGTGTGTTTGAATATTAGCACACTTTTTCTGAGACATTTTTCTCTCCACAGTGTCTTATAATTCTTTCTGGAAAAATAGATATGAATCTCCCTCATCTCTGTAACAACTTCATAAAGTTCCAGAGCATAGATATACCATAATTACCATTCACCTTCTTATTGAACTTCAGGGTGTTACCTTTTTTTTCTGCTGCAAATAATAGTGCAGTAAATATCTTTCCATATGTCTCCTTCCACATGTGCAAATGAATATCTGGTTTATGAACCTAAAGTAGAATCAGATATTCAATATTTTCCATTATAGTAGATAACACACAATTACTGTCCAAAGTTAATTTGCTAATTTATAATCCCAGCAACGGGTTACCATTTTTTGCTATAACTACCAATATTTGAATTCATCATACTTTTGAAATTTGGGAGATTTAGGAAATTAGTAAATTTTATCTTAATTTTCACTTATTTTCTAAACTAGTGCAGAACCTAAGGCATATTAGGTACTTAATAAATACTTATTAACCTGAACAAATCTGTTATTTTGCCTATAACAGACATGAAAATAATAAAGTATTATATAACTAGTATTTTTTCTTGCCATATTAAGCAATTACTTAAAGAATTTACAATTATAGCTAGATTAGGAGTTAAGGCTAATAATAGAGAAGTTTAGAAGTCGGTCTATATATGAGATGTAGTTTCATACTGAAATGAGCAATTAATTTGAAATTGGACAGATCTGAGTTTGAATCTCAATTTTCCCCCCTACTAGCTATTTTGCCATGGGAATTTTGCTTTACCATACTATGCTTTAGTTTCTAGTTTATACAGCAGACTTTGCATACTTTATTTTTTAGGACTTAGAAAAATGTATGATTCGCATATAATAAAAATAAGGTGGTTAATTTGCCCTATAATAGCTACCAGGTAATACTGGTCAGGCATATACAACATGCCAGTCTGGTGATCTATGCTAAAAACTTTATGTGTGGTTTTAATTTATTTCTTCCCAAAACTCCATGAGACAGATATCAATATGATTTTTTTATTTGGCAGAATTTGGACTCAAACTCAGTTTTCCTTTTTACTTCTAGAATATACAAATTAAAAATGGATACATTTCTAAGAGTGAAATAATTGTATTTTCAGTCTGTCACTTCTCCAACAATAGTGGGGAAGGCCAGATCTATGACAACTGCTTAATAACTTTTTGGCAAACGTAGCCTCAGATTTTCATTGCAGGATGAACTGCTGTCTGAAGTTTAAATAAGAACATGGAAAACTTTAGCATTTGTTTATCTATCCATTGTCTGGAACAAAGACCTAGAAAGACTTGCAGGTTGGAGATGGAGCAAAACAATTAAGAGTGTGATTTGCTTAATTATTTTTAATTCCACAAATAAGATGCCAGCCATCTGGCATTGGGCAAGAGAGAATTTTATTCACTTAACTCTTGGGAAATGCTAGGGGCTTGAAGAACCCTTCAAAAGATGAAGCCAGTATTCTGCATAAATAAAATAATATACTCGCTAACTCATACCAGCATCCAACGCTAAGAGTCTCACTAGCCAAAATGTTGCAGTCACTTTCCAAGTGGTTTCATCAAACACTAGTTCTTTCTCAGACAGAGTATTAAACCAAAACAAGTCAAAACCAAAATCTCCCAAGACAACCAAATACAGTTCTAGTGCCATGACTAACCTTTCTTGATGAGCAGTATTCTTCACGTTTTCCAAATCACATTTACCTGCAGAGCCCTTAAGACTTGTTCTTCGTCTCTCTGGACACCTAGGATGTTCATGACTCTGGTGGCTGGTCACTGCCTACCCCTCATGTGACTTTATGAACACCACCTGTGTCTGATTACGCATGCCCTGACCTCTAACAATTACCTCTCTGACTTCTGCCCCTGCTATATCCACCTTGATTAGGGATGCTGCTTCACATTTTTATAAACTTTATGATCCCAGATCACCTTAAATATTATTTATGGTTTATATTCCTGCCTCTTGTAGCCCTATTTCACTACCTATTATTTTATTACATCCATACTCTGAAATAAGGAAAAGAAATCTTATAATTAACTATTTATCTAGCTTATCTCACATTGCATTGTTTTCTGTGTGCAGTGTTACTTTGCCTCATGCTTTCCTTCCATTCTTTAGGATGTTGTTATCTCAGGACTAGGTTTTCGCTGTAATGGCTTAACTTATTATTTCTAGCCTTTTCCTTCCTTAGAATGTTCCATACTTCTTGAAATTCCTAAAACATGTCTTCAGATGTACATTGTGAAAAAATTCCCATTGTGCTGAATGCAGGAAACAATCCTATTTACTTTCCAGGTCCTTTATTCTCAGGCCTTATTAACACTCATTGTTCTCATATAAACCCTCAAATCTAGTCTAGCTGTCCTTTCTCCACTCCCAAAGCACTTTTTTATCCCCACTTTTGTAAAGTCTCATGCCCTCATACAAAATTTAAAAAAAAAAGAAGCAACCCACAAACTATATATTGAAGAAACCAAGGGAAGAAAATACACAATGATGTAAAGAAGTGATTATCCTGAGGAAATGGGCTTATAGGTGACATTTTATCTTTTTTCCCCCTACATTTCTCTACTGTCCACACAGTCTTTAATGAGAAAACATCATTTTTATAATTCAGGGAAACAAAGTCATTTTCCTATCTCAGTATTTATTCCTTTCTTCCTTTTTAGAATCAGAATTAAAGAAAAAAACAAAACTCTGAAGATATTGCTGCACAGAACAAATGACTATTCCCCAGTCAGACTTACATTTGTGTATGGCCATATGACTTAGCTGTTGCCAATGAAGTGTAAGGGAAAGTATTGTATGTATGACATTTCCAGAAAGCTCGTTAGGCGCTAACTTCAGCTGAAAAGAAAATGCCCTGTTTTCTTCCATCTACGTTTGTCATGCAATGAATTTCTAGACTCTTAACAGCCATCTTGGAATGTGAAGTGAGTTGAAAAACGGAAGCCATGTACTAGAATTTTGGAACAGAGCTATAGGAGCATGGGTTCCTGAATCATAGTGTAGAGGTTTCTTACCTGTCCTGGCTTGTCTACCTCCAGACTTATTTTATGTGAAAGAGAGAAAAAGTCCATCTTGTTGACATGATTCTTGCTGTAGTTTTGTTGTTGCTTATTGTTTATGCAGATAAACCTAAACTTAACTAAAGCAGGGAGGTAGAAAATATATCACAGTGTTGTTAAAAATTTAAAGTAATAAAATGTATGACCTCATAAATATACTCAAATGATTTTAATAAATTATTTTTAAAGAGAAAGCTCTACTTATATAGTCCTGGGAGTCTTGGGTTC